ACCTACAACCAAGATTATTTTACCCAACAAAGCTATCATTTAGAATCAAAGGACAGATAAAGGCTTTCCCAGACAAGAAAAAGCTAAAGGAGTTCATCACCACCACGCCAGTATTATAGGAAATGTTGGAGGAACTTAAGAAGAAAAAAATGTGTCAAAAGTCCAAATAAAGAATGGCAATAACTACATATCTATCAACAAGAACTGCAAATGAAAAAGAAATGCTCCAATCAAAAGACAGGGTGGGAGGGAAAAAAATGGCACAGATGATAAGAGGCTCTGTTCATCCCTCTGGCGACCAAATCAAAGTTGTACGGAAACAAGGAGCAGCAGCAAAGAAAATTTGCCTGGAATCTAGATGAACAAGCCATACAACTAGGGAGAAATCCAAGAAATCACCCTGCAACGGCAGAACGTAGGACAAGGCGAGGATCCGAGGTCGCCCGGTCCTGAGCAGCTGAATGAGACAGAGGCTGTGGAAGTGGAAAGAGCAAAAGCCTCTTAAAGGGGCCGCATCCGTGAGCAGATTTTCATGGTGACAGACCTGCTTGCTCTGAGCACCAGTGCCAATTCAGCTGCAAGCCGGTGGAACCAGGGACTTACAGGGAGTCATTGTCGGAGTGAGGGCCGAGGCAAGACTTGCTCTGTACAGAAGGGCCGGTGGTATCTATTGTTCTCTGTTGAACCCTGTCCCCCTCCCAGTGCGCAGACACAGAGACGTCATCAAACTGGTAACAGAGGTCAATTCACCCAGAGGATTCCCTGAAATCCTGCCTCCCCCACCTCATGGCTGCACCCATGCCACACCCAGGTGTGTCCTTAGAGAGTCAGGTGCTCCTTGCTGAGCTGCGCCTAGATTCACACTAGAGGCAGCTGGCCTCAGTTTCTGGTGTGGCCTTTTGAGGCAACTACAAGCACGGCATCTGTGGATTGCTTGCTGAATCTTAACAGGTAGCCCTGGAGGGGCAGAGGCTTGAGATTAATTTGGCCTGTAGCTGAGCCCCTCTCAGGATTGTTCCACTGGACATCTACTTCACAAATCCACACCAATAAGACCGGGAGACTTAGGAGCTTTGCTTAGTACATAGAAACAGACATGGAAAGGCAAACAAAATGGGAAGACAAAGAAGCAGAAACCATATGGGAGAAAAGAACAGAGATCCAGATATAGTGGAGTCAAGTAATCTAACAGATGCAGAGTTCAAAATACTAGTTTAAAAGATGCTCAATAAACTTTTGGGAAGTATAGATAAATTCAGTGAGAACTTCAACAAAGAGATAAAAAACATAAAAATGGAAATGGAAATTATAAAAGGGAACCGGTATGAAATAAAGAACACATTATCTGAGATGAGAAGTATATTAAATGGAATAAATGAAGGAATAAAGAAAGTGGATAAAGAAAATGATCAAATGCCCTATCTAAAGGATGGGAAAGCCAAGGACACAATCAGAATGGCAAGAGATAAGATGCCAAGACTATAAAAATAATTTAATGAGCATACGGGACACTATTAAGGGTCCAAATATTTGTCTGATAGGCATAATTGAAGAAAATCAAGATGTTGAACAGCTGTTTGAAGAAATAATGATGGAAAACTTCTCTAACCTAATGAAGGAAATGGACATAAAACTCCAAGAAGCTCAAAGAATTCCAAAAATCAGGGAACTAAAGAGGCCCACATCAAGACACATTATAATTAAAATGCTGAAGTTTAAATATAAAGAAAAAATATTAAAAACAGCAAGAGAAAAACACATAATTACTTATAAGGGAACACCCATAAGACTGGCAGCTGATTTCTCAAAAGAAACTATGCAGGACAGAAGGACTTGGCAAAAAATATTCAACAGGATGAAGACCCAGGGTCTACAACCAGAGATACTTTATCCAGCAAAGCTATCATTTAGAGTTGAAGGACAGATAAAGAGCTTCCCAGACAAAAATAAGCTAAAGGAATTTATCATCACCAAGCCAATATTACAGGAAATATTGGAGGTACTTCTTTAAGAAGAAAAAATACAAAAGATTCACTTCAGATTAAAAGATACACACAGACTAAAAGGAAGAGGATAGAAAAAGATATTTCTTTGATGGACCTAGAAGGTATTTAAGTCAAGACAGAGAAAGATATAAACACTCTATGATTTCACTTACATGCAGAATCTAAGGAATAAGAACAAACTAATCTAAAACAGACTCACAAATATAGTGGACAATTTGGTGACGGACAGAGGGGAAGGGGCTTAGGGGGCTGGGAGAATGGGGTGAAGGGTTAAAGAAGCACAAATTAGTAGCTGATGGTCACGGGGATGGGGAGCACGGCATAGGGAATGCAGTTAGCATTAATACATTGGCTAGGTGGAGGGTCAGGGGAAGGAGGGAGCAACTGGAGGGATCGTTTTATGAACTATGTGGGTGTCTAACCAATGTACTGTATACTTGAAACTAATTAAAATAAATAAATTTAAAAAAAAGAAGGGTGGCTGAATGGATAAGAAAACAAGACCCTTACACATGCTGCCTGCAAAGACTCACTTCAAATTAAAAGACTCACACAGACTGAAAGTAATGGGATGGAAAAAGATATTTCACGATGGACCTAGAAGGTATCGTGCTGAGTGGAGTAAGTCAGATACAGGAAAACAAATGCCATATGACTGCACGTATGTGTGCAATCTAAAGAACAAAATAAACAAAAAAACAGAAACAAACTCTTAGATACAGAGAACATTTTGAGGATTACCAGATAGGAGGGGGTTGGAGGATTGATGTAAAGGGGAGAAGGGATTAAGTAGTACAAATTAGTAGTTACGAAACAGTCATGGAAATAAAAAGTATAGCATAAGGAATATAGCCAATATTGTAATAACTATGTATGGTGTCAAAGGGGCACTAGATTTATTGGGGTGATCACTTTGAGTTATACAGATGTCTAATCACTATGTTGTACACCTGAAACTAATATGCCAACTATAACTGAAAAATTAAAATATTTAAAAAAAAATCTTAAAGTTCCATGTACCCCCTTGTCCTTTAGTTACATTTATATATATTAAACCCCACAATTTTTTTTTTTTTTTTGCTTGGAACAGTCATATGTATTTTTTTTAATTAAACCAAGGTGTTTTATATTTACCCACTTATTTACATTAATGGGAGGCTTGGTCCATCATAAGCTATTCTGCCATTATTGGACAATAATTCTTCCTTAAGAACAAAATGATCATGGTAACCATACACTCCAAAGTTTCACTGTCTTTGGAATGCACAGTTTTGTACTATTATTCAGTAAGAAGGGCACTTTTCCCTTTGCTAGTCCATACTTCCACTTTCCTGCCTCTAGTTTAAACCACCTTAATTTTTTTTTATCTGATTATGTACTTGGCCTCCTTTTTGTCATTGTTAAAAATTATGACATGAACAACTACCCTACTAGAATTTAGAATAGCTCCTTTCTCACCAGAGTGAACGAGAAACTGCAAAACCACATGCCCTAAAGACTGGACAGGTACGACCCAGTAATTGTTAAGAAAATCTAAGCTCAATTTAATGTGGAAAGCATGTGTTTCTTGATTGCTATCACTGGAATGCAAGGTGCCATTATGTTCCTGCCCCAAGGAGTACAGAAACACCGATGAGTCCTGCTGTTTACAATCCGTCAGTCTCCGCTGTGCATCACTTAAAAAAGCCTCTTTACCCTTGTCTCCCCAAATGCTAAAATTTTCTCAGGTTAGCGTAATGAATTCAACTCTGCCCTCTAAGAACTCCACTCCCTTTACTTTGACTTAAGAGCAGTCCAATCTCCATTTCTTCAGTCTTCAAGCCCTTGGGTCTCTTGCTGCCACTGCTTCACCAAAAGTACATCACTGCTTCTTGGTTAATGGTTAAAGGGCAGGAGCTCTGCATCCCGACCCGGTTTCAAGTTCTAATCCTGCCACTTACCTTGGGAAATTCATGTTGCCTCTCCCAACCTCTTCCTCTCTTATAAAAAGGGGATGACAGTCCCTTTCTGTTGGAAGAGTTTAATGAGACTGGTCACTCCCTTCCTGAACTTTTCTTCCTTCACTTTTCCTAACACCATTTCCTGGTTTTTCTATCACCTGCTTCTCTTATCTCCTTTGTGGGCTCTTCTCCCTTCAATATTGGTTTTCCATTTTTGGTTTCTCATCATCTTATTCCTTGCTTTCTTTGCATGATTCCTTTCAAATCTGTGGTTTCAGTTCTCACCCAAACCCAAATTACTCCTGAATCTTTATCTTCAAGTGCCACATTTATCTTCAGGTGCCACATTTCGCACCTGAAATCTAGCTACACAAGCGTCTAATGTCTATCATGATTTGGATGTCTCAAAGATAAACATGTCTAAAACCAGAGTCCACAACACTCAACTCCAGTCCCCTAATGTTCTTCTCTGATTTGTGTAACTCTCCCTATCAATGGGCATCCATCCTACAGTCTGTTCTTATCTGCCACTTCTAATCAGTCTCCAGTTTGTTGATCCTACCTCCTAAATCTCTCTCACACTTTCTCCTCTCCATGTGTCTTATTTACACCCTCATTATATCTAAGACTTTTCAGTCACAGGCACACTAGACTCCACACTGACACAGAAGTGAGCTGTCTCAGTCGCCCACTTCTGCCACATATCAGCTGCTGGGCATGGGTATCATTTCTGTTACCTTACTGTTTATTTCTGAGACACGAGAACTGAAGAATTTCCTGCTCAGCTGCTGCTTCAAAACAGACCCAATCATAATATAAAGAACTCCAAATAGTCTGGTTAGACAATAGGTCAGTCCTCTACCTTCAAATTATGGTGATTAAAAGGTACTTTAAGTACAAAATGGGGACTGGCTCTGAAGCAAACTGCTAGCCTACCAGCCATCAGGGCTGCAGCAGAGGCCATCCTGGCACCAAGTAGGAAGCTGGCATTGAGGTTCTGTCTCCAGTTTCAAACTTGGCTTAGGAATAGGTAAAAGAAGACTGTGATCATAGGTTCTTTCAAAAAAAGTTTTTATTGTGATCTCTCATTTTTGTACTTGAATTACAACATTCCCCAAAGGGGTGATGATACATAATCATATTCTAAAATGGACATATAATGTATTATAGTTTCTCCTCAGTGTATCATTGATTGTCTTAAGTAAAAATTCCTTGGTTAAGAAACTTCTTTTTCTTTTAATCCTTGGTGCTGCTTGACTGCCCTGCCCTTTCAGTCCTGCTGCTTAGACTGACGTGATCTGGCTCTATACTCTGACCTCCCTCAAGAACTTGTTCTGGATTCCCTTGGGCAAATGCAGCTAGGATACGTGACAGCCTCAGCTTCAATTTATAGAGCTTTTTTTCATCATTGTTTTTCTTTTTTAAATTTAGGCTCTTGAAGCTGAATTATGAATCGGAGATTTGTGTGTACTTTCGGGGCTGATACGCCCCACAGCCTGAGGGTTGCCTCAGCTGAGCTGAGGCTTCATCAGGACAAGGCTCGTGAACAGAGCTGTCTGCCTCTGACTGTCCTTCCACAGAGGAGGGGTCAGCCAGCCAGGAGACAAACTCCTTTCAAAAGCAAACAGCATCATGTACCCTGCTGGCTCTTGAAGCTACGTACATAGAGCCATGAGCTTGTTCTTAATTCTTAAAAGACCAGTCTGGGCTGTCTTCTATTTCCTGGGTGATGGGGCCAATAGGGGGCTGCACAGGCCTCAGGCTCCTCATGATCATCACAACACACCCTGTGTTCTGTGGTGCCCAGGGAATGTGCTGGCCTCCACCCTGCCTATGTCATGTGACTGTTCCTAATCTGATACTTCCTTGCCAAAGAAACCCCTACTCTGGGGTCACCCTACTCCTATTTTTCCCTTATTTGTGATGGTGCTTCAGCTGGACTTGCTTCCACAGCAGGCTCTGGCTCCAGAGGAAGAGGCGGTGGCTTTGTGGGCTGAGATGTTCCTCCAGCACCTACTAGCAAAACAAAGAGCTTGAGCTCTCAATTCCACAATTCCAGAAGAAATCATTATTTTCACTGTTAAATTTCAAGAAATTCCATATTTTCTGTGACCAGTGGGACTGTGGTGTATCTCTGTAGCTATGAAGTTAGACTATAACTGAAGAAACAAAGCAAAAGTCAAGTCTGCCTTCAATGACTCAGTGAAAGAAGGCTTTATTTACCTGCACCATGCCAACTTATGATAAGGCAGTGAAAATTAAAGCAAGACTGTATATTGGAAGGTACTGTACTATAGTTCTAAACTTGAATATTTAAAGTCCCAGTGTATTAACCACCCAATTAAACCTACCAGTAGTTGTCAGCTAATACACAACTTGTCTTAAAGAAACAAGCGCCAATTTGGGAGTACCCTGCAGCTTTTGTCCCCTTCTAGACAACATTACACTGGATGTGCTCTGAGACTAAAAAGTGTAGCCTTCACTCAAAGCTGTAGCTTCTTTGCTGTCATGTGTGTGTAGCTATAATCATGGTACTGTATGTGGCCTCCTACCTGAGGGGAGCTTCCTGTGTGCAGCCGCGGAAGACATTGCCTGTCCTAGAGCTTGATTAGAGCCCAGGGGCTGCTGGAAACTGGCAGCTTTGCTGGTTGAAGTGGTCCGGTGCTTTGATTTGGGATCTTTACCTGGTTTAGTCCAGACCAGTGCCTCCCCAACCTGGAGAGCAGCTCCCAACTTCTGGGCCATCTCCACCATCTTGTGCCCATATGGGAAGAAAAGAAAAAAAGAATCAAGTATGACTGGCAAAAACAAGCCTACTGGCCTCTTCCTAGGCCTTCTCCTGAGGGCTTTTAGCTGAAATAGTGTCTACTGGTACTAGCATTTGAGGGAGAAAGTATTTATTCCAAGGAAGTCATTCTCAAATAGCAGAGAACACAGATTGCCCTTAGTGGATGGCAAAGGAGTTCATTCATACAGGGTCTCAAACCCAACAAGTCAGTTTGGTGCATTATTGGGCTAAACTCCACCTTTTCTACAGAAGTGGGAGGAAGCTACAAAGTGACATAGGCCTCAACTCAGATGAGTTATATAATCAGTAACAGATAATTCAGTAAGCCTGCCTGAATTTCCTCTTATTATTTTCTTCTAGAAAAAGTTTTTCCTCAGGCTGTTACTAATTGAATAATTCATGCTGCCAGGAACATCAAAGCCAAAACAGGCACGAGCCTATGTCACATCTAGATTATCTGGGCTTCATTCAAGTCTCCTCACAGATTGCTTATGACTCCCGGGAGCTAATAAAAGACAAACCTCAGAGTCAAATTCCAGAGAGCTACTGTCCTTGAGTAAGTTGACTTTCTTCTCCATCTCCTGATACTGGGCCAGGGCACCCTGCTTCTCGCCCTGGTTGTACAGCAGCACAGCATAATTCAGGTTGACTAAAGGGTTACACCTGTGGCAAACAGACAGGGATTCTATGGAGCTTAGGCTTTGCAAAAAATGGTCATTTAGAGATTCTCATGACACAAAAACAAAACCAAACTGATTAAGTAGAGATTTCTCCATTCTGCAGCAAGGTGGAAAAACAAATGCTGTTTGGGCCTGTGGAGAAGATCAAGGAATTAACTACCTGACCGACAAAGCAGGTATTGGGACCAAGTCTGACGCCTCAACCCTCAACAGAGACCACCAGGGCGGGCTGAAGCAGTGCTGCCCACCCTGCTGCCTAGCTGATGCCAGTGGAATAAATCTCGAGAGAGTCAAGTTTATCTTAGATTAAACTGAGTCCCATCTGATATTCCAGCTGGCCCACGGCTAACAGCAACCCAAGCCCACCGCCTGCTCTGAATTTCTCTGGCCTCCTGACTACGAAGCTTGGGGCTGGGAACATTCTCTCAGAAAGTGCTGCGGAGCCACTACATGCTTAGTAGTACATCCTTCCACACTCAGGCGGGCTGTGTACAAAGGCTGTGGAGAGCAAGCATCTGGGCTGACTCCGGCAAACCGGTGCTATGGCGCCACCTCGTGGCTCTGGAGAGTCCAGCCCTCCCCAGTACCACTCCCCAAGGAGCAGCTTACTTATCCAGGCGGACAGCTTCTGCGTAGGCTCTCTTGGCATTCTCTGTATCTTCCAGATTGGTCAGAGCCACTGCAACAAATAAAGTGAGCACTGCAGCTGGAGAGCCCAGCTTAGAAAGCACAAGGAATGTTTCCAGACCATAGTTGATTCTGCACCCAAACTTAATCCTTTGCCCTCTCAGCTCCTGGCATCTACTCACTCACTCAGCTTAGATATCTGATGTCACCTTCACCAGTCCCCTCTCCAGTCAACCAGCTGCCAAGTTCTGTGGATCTCAACTTTTGCAGTTTCATTTCTGACATTTCCCTTGTTCAGATCCAAGTCATTTCAGGCTGTGGCAGTGTCCCCATCTGCCTCCAACCACTGGCTATAATGCCACCAGGTTTCTCGCTGACTTACAAACAAATCTGACCATGTCACTAAAATGTTTAAGAATACTCACTGGTCCTCCATCACCCATAACCAGATCTTTAAACTTTGTTTAGCATCAAAACTCTTTCACCCTTTAAATCAGTATTTTCTGGAAGCCTGATCTATAAAACAAACAATAAGAGAGCTGCTCTGGAAGCCCTGCCCACTCCATCCCCACCACCAACCATGCACTCACTTCTACCAGACACTTAAGAGGAGATCTAAGAATACAGTTGAAAAATCACAGCCTCGAGGATAAAGTCTAAAGTCCATGCAGCATACCCATTACCCTCAGTAATCTGACTCCAAACTACCTTTCCTGACCCATCTCTCACTACCTTCTATCACACTATCACCCACTAACAGCAGGTACATCATGCAGTTTCATGACTACATGCCTTTTTTCAGTGGCTCCTCAGCCATTCTGTGCTACTGGATTCCACCTTATCCTTCAGAACAGTGTGAAGGCATAAGCAGCATACCCATTACCCTCAGTAATCTGACTCCAAACTACCTTTCCTGACCCATCTCTCACTACCTTCTATCACACTATCACCCACTAACAGCAGGTACATCATGCAGTTTCATGACTACATGCCTTTTTTCAGTGGCTCCTCAGCCATTCTGTGCTACTGGATTCCACCTTATCCTTCAGAACAGTGTGAAGGCCCTCTCTACTTCATGGTGTTAGAACTGCTGCTTATACCTCACGCTGTGGTAATTTGTTTATATTCCTATCCCCAACAGAAAGAACTAGGCTAGTTTTGTATTCAGACAACCCACAAATAACCACCTCTCGATTTGCTTTTTCAACCTTTCTCTTACAAATATGAAACCCCACAATAATGACCATATGTAATCCTCTCATCAACCCTTTTAGATACACCCAGTAAGTAGTAGAGGCCCAAGCTCTTAATATTCAACATCTGGAACTTAGCTGGACTCAATATACATGTATATGTAAATTATCAAGCCAAGGGAAAACAGTTGGTAAAAGATGAACTAGGGATGATCTTGATTAAACCTGTGGGTCTCTGAGCAAAATTCCCCCAAGACAGAAGCAACCTAGTGCTTTGTTATTTTTCTTTCATGTTTTTTCAAGCTCTAGGACAGTAACTCAGATTCCTATGGGATCTGCAAGGGAATGGCTTCTATGGGACATTTAGCCACTGGCCTCAAATTTTCCCCTCATTACAGACTGCAGAGTGGTTTTCCACATAAATGTCTCTTACCAGCCAAGAGCATGTAGAGCTCCCCCATCTTGGGCTGGAAGTTGATGGCTGCACTGAGAAAGTGGAAAGCTGATGCATACTGCTGCATGGTCAGGTGGACAAGGCCCAAATTATAGAGAATCTTCCAGTCGAAGGGTGCCAAGTAGTTGGCTCGTTTCAGGCAACTGATAGCCTGCAGGAGAGAGGGGGCACTTGATGAGGTTGGGACAAGCTGGGCAGACCCAATTCCTGCAAGCATGAACGCAAAGAAGGCAAGGAGACACTCACAGCTACATATTTCTTCTTGCCAAAGAAACACATTCCAATGTTATTCCAGAGTGGAGGACTTTCGGGAACAGCACAAGCTACAACTCTGTATTTGGTGAGGGCAACATCAAAGTCTCCATGGGTCTGCATCATGCTGCCTGCTGCCAAGATGGCCTGAAAATACAGGACACGCAAAGTTGGTAATTCGATCACTCCCAAAAGGATGTAGCAGTGAAAGAGCCTTCCTGGGTATAGATACTCAGCACAGTCAGGACTGAAAAACTTCCAGAGACATATCTAATATATCCAAGCTATTGGGACACAGGCTCACAAGAAATGTCCTGCACCCCACATTGGCTCTTTGGCACAGCGCAGAAAAAGAAAAGATAAAATGTCACTGACTTTGCCTAGATCATTTGTCTCCTACTTCTTGCAAAGGGAGTCAATATTTCTGAGTAAAAACTGCCTTTAATTTGTTTCCTGCAGCCCCTCCAGACAACTCGAATACTCCCTTCTTTGCCACTTAAGAAACAGCTCCTTCTGGCACAGGACAAAGAGCGAGTCAGTTTTAGGCTTCATCAGTCCAGCCCTTTCATTTCTCTAAGGAAAGGTGTCAAGATGAGGCGCTGATGGAGTCAGGCTAATGTGATTCCGAGATACGACTGAGTCTGTGTCCTTCACAGCCTATTTACAGCCTATTTTGTTGTATCTCTCTCAATGATATTCATCCACTTCTTGATCTTCTCATCCCTAAAGTCATATCTGGACAAGAGCTGTAACTGTAAACCTATTAAGAACCTAGAAGTCATTTTGCCAGAATTACTTCCAACAGTAGTTGTGGAAGCTTTGCTAATTTCCTACAATTACAATTTTGCTTTCTGCATAAGTTATGAACTTGTTATAAACAAATGTGCTCTTTTGGAAAATAAGAAGCAGAGCACCAACCCTTTACAATATTTCTTATCAAATAAGAAGAGCCATGTTAATTTATAATTTTTCTAAGAAAAAAAGGTAACTTTTCAGGCGTTCAGAATGCATTACGGGCCAGACCACCTCTAGGAGTGTCAGGGCCATCTATGTGAAGGCTCTGGGCTTTGACAGCCTGTGGTACCTTGTAGTTGGTAGGGTCATAAGTCAGTGCATTCCCAAGGTGTTCAAATGCCTTCTGGTAAATGCCGAGCTTCGAGAAAAAGCAAAATAGAGAATTGTATCAGCAGAGAGATGGCAGTTAAGGAGCCTGGACAATCACACCCTGAACAGAAACACACTGACTTTTATGAGTTCTCTTGACAAAAAGAGATAGATAGATACCAGATAGATAAAGAAAACTAAAAACCCCACATTTGTGCCCCCCTCCCATTTTGATTTGCCCCTCATAAGATTAAAGTATCTATTTGCCAGGAACCATTTCTGCCACTCTAGTGCTGCTCCACACTAATGTCCCTTGGCAGGAAAATGGGTTGGTTAGCTTCATCTCCCCTGGGGCCAACCTTCCAAGCCAAAGCCAGGAAGGCCCATGATTAAGCTCCTGATCCCTTTTAAAGAAAAATGAGACGGACAGGCTACCAAAGAGGCAAAGTAAGAGGCAGAATCAGCTCAGGAGGGAACTTGAGGAGTTGGTAAGGGATTGGTCCTCAGGCTGACAAGGAGAAAGGACGGAGCTAAAAGGACGTCATTCACACTCAGGAATGTGGAGGGGAAAGGAGACTTCTTATTCTAGACAATGCATTGCCTTCTCTTTCTTAGGACCTGGCTGGGAAAAAGGGAAAACCAGAAATGGCCTTAGCCCCAAAGTCCTAATAGTGCTAATTTGTCTCATAGTTTCTCCCCCAACAACAAAATGCCAGCCCCTGTGACCAGTTATTTCTCATATATGTGCTTTCCTTTAAGAATTATAACTGCACTAGACTCAGATTTGCTTTTGATTTGAATATAGAAAATTAAGTTAGTTTCTTTAACAGATAAAGAATATTTAACACAGAGAGTAATAAGGTTCATGTGCTTCAGACGACCTTTAGCGAAATGTGTTAAAGTAAAATTAAGACACAGGGCAACCACAACACAAATCCAAAAAAGCATGTCTAACATCAATGCATAAACGAGTAGAGTTCTCATTACCTGTAAGTAGAGTAATCCCAAAGTTGTAAGAAGTTCTGTATTTTCTGGTGAGAACCTACAATACACAGATCAACACGGAGATGCTCAGAGGGAAACAAGATGTGTATGAGACACTGAGGCACATGCACAGTAACGTGTCCTTGTGCAACCCCTGAGAGACACTATTGCATGTCCCACTTTCCATGGAAATTCCTAAAGGTGATCTGGGAATTGCCTTTGATAGTAGGTCACCATAACCCTGGCAACATGAAAAAGAAATGGGACGCAGAACCCGGACTCCTTTTCAGGACCATTTTTTTAGGGCCAAAGTCTTAAAAAAGAATCTATGGAAAACGTCATGTGACTGTCTTGATTACATTGATAGAATTAAAGAGCAATGCTTTATAAACGAAGTTAGTCTAGAATACACATAGTTTTAGCCAGTTCCCTCTTGTGGAGTTTCTTTTCTTTTTTCCCTTTTTTTTTTTTTTCTGTTCTCACTATATTCACAATGACAGCCTGCATAATTTTCTGTGTAATTTAGGACCCCAAGAGCTCTAATGCTCTGCTCTCTACATTAAACAAAAAGCCATACTAAACAGCCAAACTAAACAAAAGAAGGAAGACACATAGCTCTAGGAAAGAATTAGCCATCGACTTTCGGGAATAAACACTGACTTATGTAAAAGATTATCTGCTTCCCGATCCCTCACTGATATTTGTCTTTGTTACAAAACCAAAGGAATACTAAGCTGAGATGATCTGACTACGGGATCATCAGGCAGTTTCAACAGTCAAAATGCCAAAAGCAAGGGACAATGTCTCCTGCTTCTAAGCAGTAAGGTAGGGCACAGGTTAGCTAGGGGGAGACCAAAAGCAGAAGGGCCAAAGCCACAGCCAGGGAGGCCTGAGCTGGCCAAACAGAGCTTACTCAGTTCAACTGAGTATTTGCTCTTCATTCTCTGCCAGGATAATAAATATCCATTTTGATCACCTCCCTCCTCCAAACCAAGTAAGTAACTTCCATGATTCTGGCAACATCCATCCCCGCACCAAAACATAACTGCTATCTCCAAGTTATGGGTCTCTACATTCTCAGCGAGGCTCCAAAAGCTCAGCTGTCCTCTTTTCTCTCTTAGGATTTTTTGTGACTTAAGTCTTTAACCAGCCACTGGAAGAATATCACCCTTCAGATTTATGTAAGCTAATCTTCTAGAAGGCCAGGGGCAGGGATCAAGACCTCCACCAGCCCCAGAGAAGCTTACTATATGCTATGTGGGCTCCTTCCTACTTGTCCACGTAAACAGCCTCTTGATGACAAAAGTCTCTCTTGGAGCTTAACAAACCAAGGGATTTTTGTCTTTTTAGACACAAAATGTGACTGAAGAAAATTCAGAAAGCTGTGTTTTGACTGATATAACCATAAAAGTTACTACATTATTACTATGGTAGAAGACAAAGACAATTAACAAATTAACAAATTAAGTTTAGTTCATAGTCTAATTACTACCAGGAATAATAGATTCCATGACTAGGCATTCTGTTAAGTGACCAAACAGACAAGACACTAAAGCATTTTGCTTCAGCTATCCCACTTAAAACAAGAAAGACCCTATACAGAGAAGGCAAGAGAGCATGTGTCTCTAGCAAGGAAACATGGAACTCCAACCTGGAAAAGCCAGTCAGTTCCATTATCAATACAAGTGGCCTCCCCAATATCAGTTGGCCTCCCCTAATGATGTTTTAAAACAAGATATTTGTCTCATGCTAGTAAGATCTTCCTCCTGGGCATATGTGTACTCACATGTTCCTTTGCAGCCTGGGTGGCCACCTCACTAATGCTGAACCACGGAGTTATAAGCAGGAACGATGTTTGCAACTTCTGGGCCATTAAAACACTATGAGTCGCTTATTCAGTACTTGGTTTCCTGTACCACCTCCCCCTACCACAGCCTAGACAGGCATGCTACAATTAAGTAAGTTTCAACCATGTGGGGGAAGACAGTAACCTTAGGAATGGCAGAGCAGAGCTGCCCAGCAAGGCTAGACCAGCCACACTAATAGGTGAGAAACACAAGTCTTCAAGCTTATTTAAGCCACTGGGAGCTCTAAACCCAGGCTTAACCTTTACTCTAACTCATACGACTAGTGAACCGTCATGCCCATTCTGTTTTAGGCTTAAGAGTTCATATATCTGCTCTTTTTTTTTTTTTTAAGTTTCTCCTTGTTCTAAAGGAAACAGATACACTTACTCCACTGCTTTCTTGTAGATTTCGATGGCCTTGTCCAAGTCTCCCTCCAGCAAGTGAATCTTCCCCAGCATTATGTAAGTCAGATCATGCTTGTTAAGTTGTAAGGCATTGTGCAACTGGTCTTGTGCCTAACAAGATTGATGAAGTAAAGAGAACCAAATCACTACAGTGAAAAGACAATGGCTTTGCAAGGCTAAGGTAAAAACAGCTCCTGCTGTACTAATACAGGAGCATCACGTTTCAGCAAGTTGCCCTCGCTACCCAAAAAAACAAAACTGTACTTGCTGACAGGACAGCTGGCAACATGGGGTATCTGCCTCTGAAGCTACTTGGAAGAGTTTATAAAAGATGATTAACCTTTTTGAGTGTTTCCTTTTTAATAATCATACCCACGATTCATATTTCACAAGTCAAAAGGGACATCATAATACAGTACTGTCCTGAACTCCATGTCAGCTGCACCACTGGCCAACTGCACTACCTTCTCCAGGAGGGAACTCATTTTTCTCAACAATATTTTGATAAATGAATGAATGGATTGTTCTCATTTATTCACTCAACATGTATTGAGTGCCTTTTGTTCTAGAAGTTAGGTACACTTCTTGCTCTGTAAGAGCTGATATCCTTACTAGTAGATAGTCAAAAGGGCTTTGTTTCACTGATTCAACAAGTATTTATATAAATGTCAAGTATTGTATTTACTGTTAGCTTTACAGTAAAATCTAAATGTAACTCTCTTCAATACAGGTCTGACCAAAGACCAATTCTACCTCTTTGCTCAGAATAATCCTTTTAACAGAAATGTACTTGCTTGGAATATCATCTGAAGAGAAAACTCTCCTAACCAAGTATGTAACACTGTAGATCCTCCCAGAAGAATCTAAGGGACACGCAAAATATATATTTATGTGTGTGTGTGTGTGTGTGTGTATAATTATAGATCTCACAGGAAGAGAAAGTTACTCTCATACCTCAACTGCTGATGTACAGATTTTTTTCACACCTCTGAGTAATAGATTAGGTTGCATTCATTTGCAAACTGACACAGATTAAACCGTTTTAAATGGGTATTAACCAACTCAGATTCTCACAGTACCATCCGCACAGGAGAAAAGAGAATAAAATCTTACAATCAAATCACTAAGTGGAAGCTTCATGAAGGAAACTCTACCTAGCCCCACTATCATTAACTTACAGACTGCTCAGTAATTTAGGCTATCCTTCAATTAAGATACATACATTTTTTTCTGTATATAAGTACCAATGCAAGCGTAAATGTTTTATCTAAGAGCCTTAGAGCCTACAGTTTAATCACCATGAAATATAAATTCTAACGTGGAAAATAACCTTAAAAACTGAAACTTTCAGAAATCAGATTCACTTATAACTTAAAATTCATTTCCAGCGGCCTTAAAAAACTAAAATCAGTTGCTCTCAGAACATAGAAGAGTTCACGTGGTCATGACTACACTTTTAAGACTTAAGAATCCACTTTTTTGATATCTAAGTTTTATTGAACATTTGTTTCTATACTGAAAAATTAAACTGAGGGTGAAGAAAAAAAAGAGAGGAGAGAAGCAATTAGATTGCCATTTCTTCAAAATATTTCTAGAATTTTTCGTTTTCTTGTTAAAAGCAGGAAAAAAACAGATGGATAATGACAAATGAGAATAAAAATAGGGGTAAATGTAATTTTCACTTCCAAATATCTTTAGAAGTAGTAGGAATAATATAAAATGAGCATTAGCACCTCTGTAACAAGTGTACCCTCAGTGAAATCCCAGCCAACCGCTCAACTGCCACCACCATTTCTATAAATTACCTTGTTGAACTGTTTCAGATAAATGTAGCAAACTCCTAGATTATGACAGATCTCCTACACACGAAAGGAAGGAAAACAGTTTAGGTGTAAATTCCACAGTAAGTATTAGAGTGAAACAACAGGCATTTAAAGATTGTAATTGTTCAGCAAAGTTTAAACTATCAAACATGCACTACAGTTAGTTTTTAACTATATTTCATACTCAAATATATTTAATTTTATAATAGGTTCCTTAATATTAAAAAAAAAAAAAACAGATGAGGTAAAAGCAGCATAAACAGGTGATCTTGAGTCTATGTGGTACCTTGGAGTATATACCCAGCCCATTCCCACATACTTTAGCTCTAAGAGCTGCCCATGCCCACAACCTTTATGCCCTCTTCTCAGAAAAGACAGCCCACAGCCCCTGCTCCACCTGAAGATTTTACACACACACACACACACACACACACACACACACACACGTCAATCAGACTCCTTTGCCTAGGAATCTAGGAATTCACTAGGTGATATGGACTTAGGGACTTACAGTGCCACATGGAGGGCACTACGATGGAATAGGCATAATTGGAATCAGTGTGCAGATGCAGACAGCAGAGGTCAGCAAACTACGGCCCACAGACAAAATCTATCCTCTGCCTTTATTTGTAAATAACGTTTAACTGGTATTGTCCATGGTTCTTTCACACCAAAACTTCAGAGTTTGGTAGCTGAACAGACACTATATGAAGCCACAAAGCTTAAAATATTTACTAACTGTCCCTTTACAAAAAAAAATTTGCCAACCGCTGATCTATAGAAAGAAAAAGTGAAACAGGAATGCAGAGTTGCTGACAGCTTTCCAGTTCTAGTTCACTGCAACCTGTATATTCTGACCATGAGTTCTATAGAATCTCTTAAATTCCCTTTATTAAGTCTCCCTTTATTTAAGGTAGCTTTAGAGAAAGGAGAAAATTTCTAGAGAAGAAATTGGTGTTATCAATAGGGATCAAACTGGTAACAGACTGCTCGTCAGCAACACTCACTGCCAGAAAATCATGCAGTAACGTCCGCTAAGTTATGCAGAAACATGATTGTCCATACCATTCCTAGCCAAATCATCGATCAGGTGTGAGGATAAAAGAAAGACATTTCTGGCATGTAAGAATTCAGTAATAACAAAAGACAGCCATATGATAAATGGAACTATTAGCATGTTACTAATAACAAAAACTTAAAGCTCCCTACTTACCCAATCTTTCTGGTTAAGTTTAGCTGCTTCATTATATACTTCAGTGGCAGCTTTATGTTTTCCCAAAAGAAATCTGTGGAATACATTTTCCATAATTATTAATGCAAAGCTTTTACAAGACTAACCCAGTTCCTGCATTTGACTCATATTCTACCCAGCAGAGAATTCTGGAAACCTGCTGGTTTGGCCAGTGAGGCTGCTGTATACCAACAGCAAAGCCCTCTTGGTAGGGACTGCACTGGTCACTGCTGCAGGGCCTTGGTCCCATTCTATACCAATTTTAGTGAAAGTCTTCTGCAATTTATTTTCCACACACACATATAGACCAAAACAGAAACAAGCTAAATCAAATACCACGTTAAGCAAGAGCTGCCATGATTTATCACTGTCTATTAGGGACTTGCCTTTCCCTCCCAAGCCTAAGTCTCTTTCCTAGATCATGGTTCTGGACATATGGGGAAAACTGGGCTCTATGCAAAGACAGTACAGGTATAAATGACAATGTAGGTAAGAGAGTGAGCATGGGAATCCCATGGAACACTTTACTACTCTGGAGTAGTAAAGCTATTAAGTGTACCTAACGGCTTAGAAAGATTTTGGAAGTTGCTTTGGAAGTTGTATCAAGGAACCTTCAGGGAATATATATATATATGTCAATCAGATTCCTTCCTAAACACTTACTAAATACCTATTGTATGTCAAGTATTATGCTAAGTGTTAGATGAGAAAAATTCCATGGGTTGCCAATTAAGATAAGGGGATAGAGGGCACAAGATGTCACTATTTATATGATAAATGGTATCAGTGTTCCCCTGTCAAACTAGAAGACACAGTGTTTGAAATATTCAGTTCCTTTATACAAGTTATCTCATTCTGTCAAATTTCAAGATTACTCCACACTCTTCGAAGTGAATCCCACTATACCTATTAAGCAACTCTCCCTCTATGTATCAGGCTGCTCGGGCTGCTAGAAGCAGCCTCTGACATTATACGTCCCTCTCTATGAGTGAGTGCCCCAAGGCCTCCAGGTGGCCAATACTCACAAAGATCTGGCCACCTGCTTGAGGTTATCAGCACACTGAGGGCTAAGAACAGCACACGTCTGAAAGAGTTCTAGGGATTCTTGGATATTTCCTTCCAGACGAAATATCAATGCTGCCAAGAAAAAGAAAACACAAAAATCATGCTCTGGGAAAAATGGAGCCTGGTATCAGAAAAACTAGAAATCATTACACAGAAATCCTTTGGATAACTGCATCTTTAATACAATAAGATAGGACTTCAGATGGGTTGAAACAAGTTGCAAAGTTGTTGACAAGCTAAAACCTTTTTTTTTTTTTTTGAGACTTGAATGTTTTATTCTAAGAAATACCTTTACTTTGACTCAGTTAACAAAGGAGCTTTCAATACGAGTTCTTCACTTCCCTTTTACATTAAGGAAAAAAATACGGTCATGCTTAAAAGAGGGGAAAAGAGAGGGGAAAAGACATTTAAACACTTGGCAATAATATTATTTTTTAGAGGCTGAAAGAGGAGGAGGAACATATCCTCTTCAAGTCTGTTATTTAACAACATTGGCAAATCTTTCGGTTCAGTGATGGGTAAAAGGGGTGCACTGGCTCCTTTATCTTTCCTAGTACTGACTGTGTTTATAACTTGACCAACTAAACAGGCATTGTTAGCTTTGGCAAGCGGTAGTTTTTCATAGTATTCTAGTGGCCCACTGCTTGCATCCCCCTTTTCAGAAGCAAGGCAACCAGTAGAGACCTCCTCTGAGGTCCTGTCAACTTCTTTATGGCCTTCAGTTCTTGAATCTCAATATTTCTTCTCTTCTTTTCTTTGTTGAATTATGCTGTATTATCTCTAATATTAAGGTATTGGCTACCTCTTCCAGTTCCATCTTTGCCTCAACAATACCTGAGTCTAATAGAACTTTATTGAAATCGTTTAAACTTTTCTCATTATTCTTGAGAACTTTATGAGCAAGAGCCCATCTACAGCATGCTTTCACATTCTCTTTATCTATATGAAGCACCTGATCACAGCCCTGCTTTGCCTCTTCAAACTGGTACAGCTTCAAGTAACAGTTCTGTTTGTATAAAAAGCACATTCCTTATTGTTACTCTTTAAGCATTCACTGTATTACTGAGGGCATCTTTATAGTTTTTGTCTCTTACACATTGATTTCCTTTCTCTTTAAGAGTTTTAGATATTTTTTCATCTGTAATGCCCAGTTGCTGATGGTTTCAGAATCTCCTACAAGCCGCCAAGCTTGCAATTGTGGAAATAGGCACAGAAGGAACTAGTGACCACTTCTCTTCTCTTGACTACTTAGTCCATCCAGATCCATTAAAATTCTTGTTATTCTGTCACTTGCTATCTGGATTCCGGTCTATTTGCAATACTTTCATAATCCACATAAGCTATCTGATACTGCTCTGAAGTTTTCTGGCCACTGCTCCTCAAAGAAGAGGTGTGACTGAGAATGAAGTTCCAGAGCTCTGTTAAAATCTTGAATGCAGCCACTGAAGTTTCCTTCCTTCAAGTAACATGCTGCTCTATTTGAATATAAGATACTTAGACTATCTGCACTACTACTTCCTGCAGGCTCCAGCAGTGCTATTGCCTAGGAGAACCGCCCATTTTTGAACAGCTCATTGTCCAGGCTCTTCAGGCTGGCTGGGCCAACGGGGTCTCTGGTGACTCACCCACTGCCTGGGCGCCCGCTGACACTGCCCACCCTCCCTGGGGTCCACAGGCAGCCCTACTTGTTCACGCTGGCTCCTGGCATCTAGACCCTCCGCGGTGCACCCCTCTCCCGCCGCTTGCTGCCCTCGATTTTGCGTGTCAGCTTTTTCTGGGTATTGCCCATACCACTCGGCTCCACCACCTCTGTGGGAAGTGGATGCGGGAAGCAAGTGCTTGCAGCATCAGGAGAAACTACTGCGGTGGCCGTGCAGGTACCTGGCGTTCAGGCACGGGCCATGCTAAAACCTTTTAAATAAGGTATCTCAAACCTACCTTACTCTGCCACGCCCAGCATCCAATACACAGATAATCAGATGCCTTGAAAATTATCCCACAAATGCTGCATAACATGAACATTCTTAGGCTTCCCCCATCAGATGCTCTGTTTATCATGATAATTTACTTCCACCTGATAGTTTTCAGAGAGTGTACCCAAATGGAGCAACTGTAATCATTACCCCATGTCCAACAAGGTGATTCTGGCAAAAAATGCAGTAATATTTCAGACTTGGTTTTCAGTATAGCAACCAATCAGAATCAATAAATTTTCCTAGGCTGAAATTTTCAGAAGCGTTTTCATGCTTAAGTACTGGGAGGCACTGAAAGTCTGAAACTCGTGATACTGGGAATAAAAGAGCACTTTTTTGCCACGATGTCCTACATGTGTCAATATCTTACCAATTATGTCAGAAAATTATATATTAATCTGAAACTACAAAATGCAACTAATAGTAAACAAAACAATTCATTTATATCAAAAAGTCTAAAGGAAAGTTCCAGGAAAAATTAAGGATGTTACTTTTGGCACTAAAAGGTAATATTTCAGGCAGTGGTTCTTATATTTGGTTTCTGATGAAATTCATTTATTCTCTACTTTATTCTGTATACCTCTAGGTTTCTCCCCTTCGTCCTGATGCACCTTCCTAAAAATCCTCAAGACTTTCCTCATCAATTCTAGCCTGATGATAAGGAACACTTTCAAAAGCTTCTTCTGGGCCTGAAACTGCTGCATGAGGAAGGGATCCTAACACCCATTCTGAAAAACACCAGCTAGAAACTAGAAAAGGGGTGAAGGATGATGGTAGCAATTTTTTTTTTAACAAAACTAGTCATTTCTGAGGTCAAATCTAGCACAAGAATTATGTTCTAATTGCTCTTTCTCATACTGAGTAAGACCTTTGTGGAACACTTACTTGGATTTAAGCATTTCATAAGTTGTTTGCTCTTTTTCCAGAACCTAGGCAAAGTGTGCATTCCTCTAGCAAGAAGAGAAGAAATATGTCTTACCTTGGACATAGATAGCATATTCACATAGCCCTTGGGTCTCCTGAAGCTGTTCTTTGATAACAGCCTGAAAGAAGAATAAAAATGCTTCTGAGTAATTAAGTGTCTTCAAGAGGTTTTAAGAAAAGGAAGACATGGACTAGGAGCAGATGGAAAAAAAATCCAGGATACTAATAATTACTAACAAAGTAGTTCATTCAGAATTTTTTTTAAATCCTGACTCTCTTGTACAGGGGTTGGCAAACTACGGCTCACAGGCCAAAACTATTTCTGTACAGCTCTTAAGCTAAAAATGATTTTCATATTTTTAAGGGTTATAAAAAAATAAGAGAATATTAAGATTATGAGACAGAGACTGTATGTGGCCTGCAAAGCCTAAAATATTTACCATTTGGCCCCTTACAGAAAGTTTGCCAACCTCTATCTAGACTCTAACAAGGCAAGCTAAGAAAAATAAGAAAACACCTTCAAGCACCATTGTAGATGCTCTTTACATTGTAGGGGCTCTCTAACGAGCAAAGTACAGGTTCTATCTTTCTACTATGATGGGCTAAGCTCCTGGTGCTACACGAGCTTGCGGGCAAGCTCTGATTCTAACTTGGAGAATCAGGGAAGCTTTCTGGAGTAAGTAGCTTTAAATCCTGTGTCCGCAATGGGTGGAGGAGAGGTTGAGGTGGCCAGGAGAGTCAGAGAGAAAAGGGCTTCAAATACCATGCTAAAAAGGCTGAGAGCAATGGGAAAATATTGATAAGTTTTAAGCAGTAAGCTAACTATTTGCTCTACAGAAAAATCATTTTTGGAGCATTGTTGAAAATAGATGGAGTCTACAGCCATGCCACCCTGAACACGCCCAATCCCGTCTGATCTTGGAAGCTAAGCAGGGTCGGATGTAGTTAGTACTTGGATGGGAGACCACTTAGGAAGACCAGATGCTGTAGATGTAAAAAAAAAAAAAAAGAAAGAAAGAAAAAAGATGGAAAGGACACAAGACTAGAGGCAACATTGGTATAAGAACTCTTGTGATAATTTAAATCAAAATGAAGGGGATTAACTAAAGCATGGAAAGGGGGAAAAAGTGGACAATTTTAAGAGATAGTAAGAGAAAGATCTCCAGAATGATCATTATCTATATTATACAAGGGAAAGCAGGTCAGGGGATTCTGACACAGATAGCTGGATGAATATTGTTACCTATCCTTGAGACAGGGAACAGGAAGAAGGAATAAGTTTGGAAGGAAGCAGATAAATTCGGCTGCAGAAAAGATTAATTTGGACAATGGTGGCCACCCGTCCAGCCCTTGTTCTAGTGCCAGGTAATTCAGACATTCTCCATGTGAATCTTTTCTTTTTTCTTTTTTTTTTTTATGCCTACAGCACCTGGTTTTCCTAGGTGGCCTCCCATCCAAGTACTAACCAGGCCCGACCCTGCTTAGCTTCCAAGATCAGACAGGATCGGGCTTGTTCAGGGTAGTATGGCTGTAGATGGCCCCATATGAATTTTGTGTGAGCCTCTGACCCACCACCTGTGTTGCAGGATCCTTAGAAACATGGAGGAGTGAGAGATGTCCCCAGATCTCTCCCCTTAAAACAACAATAAGCTGAACATCTAAAACTCAACAAAAAACACCCAAACTTGCACACCAGCATGTCTGAGCGTAGGATCTGCACATAAGAGCTACCACAGGTCAGAACCCCGGGTGTTGGGCGGTGGACTGGGAGAAATAAAGAAGCTGCCTCTCACAGCTGGGGGAGCTCCCTGCAGGAGGAGGGGGAGGGGAGAAGGAGTGTTCCTGTGGCGAGTTCCCTGAAGAGCCCTGCCTGGGAAAGCTGAAGGGCCCAGTCATCAGAGCAGAAAGCAGAGAAGCGGGATGGGACCGCAGAGGAACAACAGTTGATTTTTGCCAGCCACGGTTGAAAAACCGAGGCTAAGCCCCAGCCCCCAATCCCCAACCCAGAGGGCCCCTCCCTCCCATACCCTCCAAGAAAGATCACCACGGAGCCCCAGGGGAATCTGAGCAAACGCTGCTGAGCCTGTCGCTGACACTGACAGGGACTGAAACTGAGGGTAGCGAGCATGATTAACTATCTACAAGAAAATTTAAAAAGTATTATTAAGACTTTATATAAAGCAGGGATCCAAGAAGCTTAGACGCCACCTACTGGAAACCAAAACAAAAGTGCCTTCTTTGCAACAGGCTAAAGAGAGACCTTTGTATAATACATCTTCTTTTTGAAAAAAACAGTAGAATATACTTCCATTAATGCCCAGGTGGAGAAATAGTCCATGAACAACCAAGCAGATAAGGCATCTCAGAAAGAAAGAGAAAAATCTCCAGAAAATAAACTTACAGACATAGGAATGTGCAACTTAAATGACAGAGAATTCAGGATGGTACTTCTGAAAATACTCGATGAGATCCAAAACAACTCAAATCAACAATTTCAGGAATTGAAAAAACAACTAGATGACCAGAGCAAGAAGACTGAAAACCTCAAAAAGAACCAAATATAACTTCTGGAAATGAAGAACACACTGCAAAAGTTGAAAACTGAAATAGCAAGCTTAGGAAATAGACTCAACCAAATGTAGGAAAGGATCAGTGATATCGAAGACAGAAATCTGGAAATAAATCAGAAGGAAGAAGAGATAAACCAAAGAATAAAAAATAATGAAAGAGAAATTCAAAACTAGCTGATACCATCAGGAGAGGAAACATAAGAATAATGAGCATTATTGAAGGCAAGGAAAAGGAGCAGGGATTAGAAAGCATTTTCAGACAAATAGTTGATGAGAATTTCCAAATCTAAGGAATGAGCTGGAGCTTGGAATTCAAGAAGTCAACAGAATACCCAATTATCTCAACCCCAAAAGGCCTTCTTCAAGACACATTGTATTAAAATTATCAAAAATCAATGACAAAGACAGAATTCTCAAGGCAGCCAGGGAAAAGAAGGTAGTAACCTACAGAAGAAAACCTATTAGATAA